TATTCCAAGTTTCCCTCTTTATTCCAAGTTTCCCTCTTTATTCCAAGTTTCCCTCTTTATTCCAGGTTTCCCTCTTTTATTCCATGTTTCCCTCTTTTATTCCAGGTTTCTCTCTTTTATTCCAAGTTTCCCTCTTTATTCCAGGTTTCCCTCTTTTATTCCATGTTTCCCTCTTTTATTCCAGGTTTCTCTCTTTTATTCCAAGTTTCCTCTTTATTCCAGGTTTCCCTCTTTTATTCCAGGACCCCCCTTTTTATTCCAGGTTTCTCTCTTTTATTCCATGTTTCCCTCTTTTATTCCAGATTTCCCTCTTGTAATGTAATTAAAAATAAAGAAGATCAACCATTTTAATGTTTATATTATGAGAACCTTAAATATTTTAAACAGCACTGATGTATAAATATGTGCTTAGCTTTATTAGCTAGCGCTTTTATTCTTTTTTTCGATTTATTTGAAAATGTAAAAGTTGTGTTCTTTTATTCTCCTGTTGATTTATTGTCATCAGAATTGATCGATTGTAAAATGTTTTTGGTGCCGATTAGTTTTCGGCCGCCCCGATGAGAATTTTCTGGAACCGGCACTGTTAGCTGCAAGTTCATCGACATAAAAGGCTTTTTCATTTTTAAAATCAAAAATGTAATTTAAATAATACATTGCACACAAAACATATATATAAACAGAAGAAACATCCTGTCCTTTAAAAGAACAAATTAATGAACACAGAAGTTAAATACAGAGAAATAGTTTAGCTAGTCCTGCTGCAAAGAAAAACATTGTAGCTCACCTTCATTTATAATAATTTTTTAGCTTTGAAAGCATCAAACTCGGCCAAAGACGGGTTAAATTTATCTTATAAGGAAAACTCAAATATTTCAGTGATTTTTTTGGGGGTAGCCTACTCTACCTACCTGTAATATTTCCATGAGTGACGCGTTTTTAATCCCACTTCTACTTTCTATTGCTTATTCGTTGATTTTATTGATTATACTTTAAATAAAACGATAGATACATCTTATTAAAAAGCTGTTTAATATTCTGTTCTTCATGTTAAACTGTTGCTCTATTGTTGTCACAGCTGACGTAGGTTTGCTAGCACTTCTACCAGCTAAATGACAGGCGGCCATGTTGGAATCTGATCTGTTTTATTTTTAGGCCTCCATAAGCATTTGTGGTGTTTAATCAGGTCTTAAAGCTTTTATTTTATAAAGTCAGAGACAGCCAACTGACATTAATGTTCTGAGCTGTAATGGAAATCTGGAACTGAATTTAGTGATTATATTGATTTAAATAATCTCTGAGTTTGTAAAGTATCCTATTTTCAAGACAAAACTGAAATAGCTCATGCTTAGCCTCTCGGACCCCACCGGGTCGCCGGCGACCCGGTGGGTTCTGAGAGGTTTGACTTTAGAGAATAACTCAGAATGCATACATATTCTCCACAATTCAGCCACCTAGATAATTTTATGGACACATCGAGCACCAAAGCACAATTAACACAGATATAGCAGCATTTCAAAATGTAAACAAAGCAGCCATAGCTACATACCTTTGAAGGCGTCCAGAAGCCGTTTTATAAATCCAATCCTCAATTGTTTATACTACATTCATCCATAAGGGTCCCTAGATTAAAAGTAATCCAGGATATTAGTTATAAAAATATTCCATGATGAGAAAATCGCCCATAACGTCCGGTTGTTGACATCAGAAAAGTTAGCTGGTCTTAGCTAATTAACAGCATCTTGCTAATATTTACTTCTAGTGCTTCTTTCCTCGGTTGTTAGCCCGCAATGTTTGGTTGGTTCTTTACATCGTTTTCTTATCTACAAGACACAAGTGTCTGCATATTTTTGTGATGCGATATGAGCGAGATAATGGTCCCCGAAATCTCACTTCCAGTCCACTTCCTGTCTGCCAGTGATAAGCGATATTACGCATCATAATTCTCTGCTGTTATTGGCTAAGACCACGTGGGGTGTTGGGCTTTGTAGCCAATGAATTAAGCTTTTGAATGAGCCCAAATGTGTGTAGTTTATTTAAAGGGGTACCGCATTACAGGCTTGTTTTAGAGAGAAACACAGACACCAGCAGGTGGAGCCATTGCGCGCAGCTCCAAGCTGGCACCAAAAGTTCAAACCCCCACAGCTCTGGAACTGTTATAGCTAGAGGTCTGACATTTTCTGCATTTATGGTTGACATGATGTAGAACAAATGTAATACAATGAGAAATGCCTTTTCTTAAGAATGTCTTTATGACTGCTGTTCAAAAAAGACCTGTCATTACCGAGAATAAAAAACAACTTTGAGTCATGTTTGAACTGATGCAGCTTGGTCTGTGTTCTACTCACCCAATTTTAATTTATATATTCAGAAACGAGAGGGTGTTAGCTTACAAATAATGTATTGCGAATGTAATTTGGGCTTACAGTTCCTAAGTTATTCGCTTTTCCATTTTGGTATGCAAAATAGGCGAGAATTTCCCTAAATGAGGTGGATGTTAAGAGGCTAGAAAACAAAACTGTATAAGAATAATCTGAGTCACAATATTGTGAAGTTATGAATTATATTACGCAATTGCATTTAAATCCAGATCAAGTAATGAGATTCATTTTTTCATCATCATAAATTGATATATGTCGAGTCTTATAAAATGTATAGGTTATAATGACCAATCTTGTACTGAAAAAAAAATAGTTAATCTAAAAATGTGTATTTTTCCTTAAACTGAGGTGGTAAATAAAGGAAGATTATCTAAATGTTTATTTTTACTCTTACAAGATATTTGGATATTTACTCGAAATAAGACAAAGCTGTTTTTTTTTATTATATTCCATTGGCAAAGTGTCTCCATTACCTGCTTAATTATAGAAAAATTAACTTTGGGTTTCAGAGGAATCTGATTCTGATGCACTGCAAAAAACATCAAACAGATCACTGCTGTTTCTTCCAGTTAAGTTTTATTTACTCAGTAATTGGTTGTTTTCAAATGTAACAAAGTAAATTAACCAAATAAAACTCTGGTATCAGTAAAAAAAATTCAGATTTGTAGACTTTTAATATTATATTTAATTACAATAACAAGAGTGAATGCAACCAGCTGGTTTCCATCGCTGCTTCAGGGTCTACTGTGGCGTTGGGTGCAGAAGTTTGCCCTGAAATCAGAGGGTTGTTGGTTCGGTTTTAATGCCGTTGTCTCCTTAGCAAGACACTTTACCTGCATTTTCTACTGGTGGTGGTCAGAGGGACTGGTGGCGCCAGTGTACAGCAGCCTCGCTTCTGTCGGTGAGCCCCAGGGCAGCTTTGGATACCATGGAATTTGCCATCATTAGGGATTAAATGGTTGAATGACTAATTGTGGAGTAAAGTGCTTTGATCAAGTCTCCTGACTTAAAATTCAAATTTCCCCCATTTCATATATTAATTTATCCTATTCACTCCCTATAAAAGTTTTCACTCAGCCTATTTCACCTGCAAGGCCACACAATTCCCCTACGTGAGAATGTTCGTAGACCAGACATACCGGTACCTTCTTCCCAAAACAAGCCCGATTCTTTCTCAAGGTTTATAAATAAAAAATTAATTAATTGAACATTATTGATCTCACATTGGAGAAATTTATCTCTGCATTTAACCCATCCCCTTGGAGAGCAGTGGGCTGCCATTGTGCGGCGCCCGGGGAGCAGTGTGGGGTTAAGTGTCTTACTCAGGGAGCCAGAGTGGCAATCTGGAGGAGTGGGGGATCAAACTCCCAATCTCAGGATTCAAAGCCCTAACCACTAGGCCGCCACTCCATTATTATTGTTATTCATAACATGTTACTGTTTAACCAAAGTGTCTAATTTGTTTTGACTCTATTTCCCATTGTTGTAGGTAAGGGGGAACGAACGCTGCTCAGGCAGAACAGGGCTGATTACAGAGCAGTAAGGGCCGGCTGTATGATGAACTGTTCTCTCTTTGCAAAGATATGAAAATAAAGTGCCGACTGAGTGAAATCCATCGATCTCCGTTTATTTAACTGAGGTGAATAGTTGAATACTTTTTTTCCCCCACTACAAAGTACAGGCCTTTTACCATCTATTATATAGTATTGTATGCAGGATGGGAGAAATATGGCTTTAAAAACATGAGGAACCAAAGCAGACGAGTTAAAGTGCTTTAATCTATAAGCATGAATTCAGTCATCTTGGTTCCTCTTTCAATCTTTTCTAAAATCAAACCTTTATAGAAAATGTCAGTTTTTATTTTTTTTGCCTCATTTGTCTGATTTGTAATGACTTTTTCATTCTTTTAATGTTACACTTTGATTTGTGTGTCGGAGCAAATCTGCTGACCTACATCTGAGTGTTTAATTACCCCATGAAGCAGCGGGGAAAATGTCAGCCTGAAATAAGCTGGCCCCAGTGGTGCGTTCAAGGACATGCCTATCTGTTCGTAAAAATAACAGAGAGGTTTAACTGACCTCAGTCCATTAAATGTCAAAATTAAAACTACACATTTTAACCTGTTTGTTTTCTTTCCTTTTGCTGCATAAAATTTTAGAAATAGGTGTATATATAAAGTTAGCCAGCAGGTGGCGGTGATGGACTTTTATTGTGTTTAAGAGAATTTTAAATATTGCATTCAGACAAAGGAAAAAAAGAGTCCCTGCAGCTGAAACATACTTCCCATTTTTATTTACAGCTGAAGCGCTGATTTATATAAAAAAGAAGAAAAACAAACAATAATGACGACATATCAGCTTTGTCCTGGTTTAATTAAAAATCTGAGTAAAGACAAGTCCAAATCCACAGAGACGAGTCTACTGAGAAGAGTGCAAAACAAGCTTTCCCAGCGTAAGAAACGGATTTAAAATAAAAGACAAACAAAAATCATCTACATGGTAAAGTGCATGTTGTGAAAAAACAGACAAAAAAAAGGCGCTCTGGTTTCAGTTTCAGGAGCTCGACTTAAAAAGAGAAACCGAACGTAACGGAGCGCAGAGTTTGCACTGCTTCAGAGTCGGTTCACACATTCATATAATATTACTGAACTCCAGTGGAAACATCCAGTGGTTTATCGTCTTCACTCACACTCACTCACACGGCTCCTCATTCACGCACCACGCAGCCTCTTCCAGTCGCTGAGGTCACATGGTGTTGTAAAGCAAGGCCATGGCTCGTTTTCTCTCCGCTGAGGCTCTGCGAGGACGTCTGGACGAGTGTCCCCTGCCCTGCTGTGACGGCGCCGAGGCTCCGGCGCCACCGCTACTGTCTTCTGTAGAGGAGGGGGGGGACGGGGCCGGAGACGCCTCATCGGCGGCCGGATGAGTTTTTTCACAAGAGTATAGAGAGAGAACTTTCTGCTTCTTCCAGGAGTCGTCTGCGTGAGACGGTCCCAAAGAGGAAGACTCTGAGGATGATGAGGTGGGCGGCCTCAGGTCCAGGTCGCAGAGGTCGTTGGCGGACAGCTCCAGCGAGTCCAGTTTAGCCAGAGATGCGGATCTCTTCATGAGGGAAGGGGGGGTGAGGCCCGCCTGCCGCATACGCGCCTCCAGCTCCACGGCTCGGTGCCACCCCGCTGCCTCCAACTGACCCCTCCTCTCCGGTTTTGGCCCGGCCTCCGGGCCCGGATGATGTCCCGACTCCGTGTCCATGGGGTCGGTCGGCCTCTGAGGCGGCGCCGCTCCGACGCCGTCCTGCAGAAAAGCCTGCAGTTCCCGCAGCGTCTGCTGGATGCGCTCCAGCTCCTGGCTGCTGCGCGCCAGCCTGCTGCGGGCTTCACAGCCGGGCCCGCAGGCCGGCGCCGCGCCTGGAGGACAGCGGTCCGTTTCAGACTCCTCCAACGTCGCTCCGTCCAGATTCAAAGCGGCTGGAAGCTTTTGGCCGTGCGGCCGGGCTGAGGTATCTAGAGATGATTCTGCTGACTGAGCGGCGGCGGTATGCGAGGACGTCGGCGTGTCTGCAGCGTCACGTTTAGCATCGGGAACTCGTTCGAGGTCAGACGGCCGCTCTGGGCTTTCAGAGCCTTCGGGCTCCTCGGCGTCTCTGGCTTCCTTAGAGACGGCCGCGCTCTGTCCCTGAGTGAGCGAGGGTGGGGGGGGTGAACGGCGAGCCAGCTTCTGCTCCAGCTGCTCGGTGGCCCGGCGGACCGAACCTTCCCGCCCGCAGGGAGACGTGGGGGGAGATTCCTCCTGCCGTTCACCGAGGACGACCCGGGAGGACGAAGACGGCGATGATGATGATGATGGACTGGAGGGAGTAATGGCTGAGTGTGATATGGCTTCAATCTCAATGACGATGTGGCGGACGGATACTCCGTCGTCATGGAGAGTTTGGTCAGAGTTCTCCTGCGAGGAAACGAAAAAACAAGAAGTTAGAACCTTCTTTCCCCTCATGGTGAGGAGACAAAATATAAAAAAACCTCAACAGGCTTAAATCCTATGTGATCATGAGATATTTCCAGTTGTTGCTCGCCGCTACATCTCAAACTGTACGATGAAACCGCAGGGTTTAAAAGTTCACAGCTCACGATGTTTGTTCTCACACTGTGCAGCTCGACGCTCTGATGCGATCTACCTGCTCAAACTGTACGTCTAAAAACCAGGTAGGACTCAGCGCCGCAGTGAGATGGCGCTACTCAGGACTCGTCTATCCGGAAGCCAAACGAGTAGAAGAGGAATATGAAGCTCACTAGAGTGAAACGCGCTGCCTTGGCAATTTTGCTATTTAGTGCTGAAAGCTTTAAAAAGAAAAGGCGACGACGTATTTGGATAAACACACAGCTGAGCAAACATGGCTACTACGGTCTGTCAATTTTACAGAAAAAACGCAATTTCACTCATTGCACCCCCGCCATGATTCTGTGTTTTCCTCTAAGAAGAAGAGGAAGAATCCTCCTTTGCCCACTGAGTGATTTGTCCACAACCACCTAACAACGGCCGACTGAATATCAAACACGTTTGATTTTCTCCCGACCTTACGATTCCTGATCGGGAGTTGGTCGCCCCTGGTTACAGCCTGTACACTACACCATGCACCATCAGGCTGAAAGTCGACCCGACTGAAAAATTCTCTCACGACTGGAAAGTTGGCCCAAAAATCGCAAAAGACACACTGTATGCCAGGCTTTAGCAACTAAAGTCTGAAATCGTCACTGATAACAGAGCAGGACTGTTCCTCTACTGTCCAGAAGGTGTCACTGTTTCCAAGTGTAAAACCTTGTGAATTAATTGTAATAAATAAAATATAAGTTAATTTTTCTTCAAATGTGTAAATGAGACGAATTTCTTCTAAAATAAAGAAAAAAACGCCTCAATCATTTCAGGTCTGTCCTAATTACCGTAATTTTCGGACTATTAGCCGCACCTGAATATAAGCCGCAGAAGCTAAATTGCATGATTTGTACATATACAAGCCGCGCCGGACGATTAGCCGCAGGTTTTTTATGTTTAATGTCCGTCTTTCTTGCTGTCGTTCTGTCTCGTACCACCTCGCGGTAGAAGTCTGCTTCCGGAGGACCTCCGCATTCCTCCGCGCGCCGCTACCGTACTTGTGTGTTGCAGCAAATGTGACGTCAACATGGTGGAGGGTAAAATCCATAGATTTAGCGATTACCCTAGTGGCCGTTAGCTGTAAAAGTCCATAGATAAGCAACATTGTTATATAAGCTGCAAGGTCGAAAAATGGGGAAAAAGTCGCGGCTAATAGTCTGAAAATGACGGTATCTTATTCTAAGGGTAAATATATTCGTTCGTTTGGCAGAGGATCTTATTTACCTGCTCAAGTTAGTAACAAATATTTCATTTTTTGACTGAATTTAATCGGCCATTTTGTTAGCCTGAGGTAAAGCAGGATGGTCGGTACCTGACTGGTCCCGTTCTCTCGCTCCTCTTCATCGTCTCCCTCAGGCGACAGCGGCGGTCTCTGCTGCGGCTGCTCTGATTGGCTCCTCGTCGGGCCTTCCTGAACCAGGCCCAGAAACTTCTCCCTGGCGCTGAAGAAGTCGATGCTGTCCGTGCTGTGGTTGGACGAGCCGTCGGCCTCGCTGCGGCCGTCCGAGGGGCCTCCTGCCTGCGGCTCGCTTGGGTTGTTGTTGTCGTCTTTAGGAGTGAGGTCGAGGACGAGCGGCGGGGGCGTTGGTGCGCTCCGCCTTTCGCTCGTAGAGTCAGACGGGGATTTATCGAGCAGGTCGGAGTCACTGGAGCCCAGAGTGACAGGAGAGGTTTCCTCTGAGCTGCTGAGCGGCAGCTCGGCTGCCGTGGAGTTTTCTGGAAGCGTCAGATGTATGGGAGGAGGTCGGCGGTGCCGCCGGGGTTCAGGGGTTGGGGGTAAGATGTGGAGTGAAGGCGGAGGGTGGGGCAGAGCCACTGGCACGGTAACAGCCACGCTGGCCCAGGCGCCCGGCCTCTCCTCTGGTATGACTGTAGCAGCTCGCGGTCTGGGGAGAGGAAGCCCAGGCCCCGCCTCCTCCAGCGGCTCCGACTCTCCGTCGCCGTTGGGCAGCGTGTCCAGACTGGAGCACAGCGAGTCGGGCGTTTGGGCGGGGGCAGGGCTCAGGGGCTCGGCACTGAGGGCCTGCAGGACGGCCACGCCCAGGAAGTGATGCAAGGAGGGGGAGGAGGTGGTGTTGTTGTTGTGAGAGTCGGAGCGGCCCAGCGTGGGAGACGACGGCTTGCAGGTGGAGGCGGGGCGATCCGAGAGCTCGCTGTCAGAGTGGGAGCGCCACAGCTTGTTGTGTCTCTGTTTGCTGTGGAGGAAAAAGGAAACGAGCGTTAGAGATGGAAAAAAGAAACATGGACGCTCAGCAAACTCCAGAAGAAGATGTTAGGAAGGATAAATGATGAATGGATGAACAAAAAAAAAGGAGAGAAAATGAATTAAACAATTATTTTTGGACTCATTCTGCTTTTTTTCAAAACAAAGATCAACGTTACACAATTTCAACAAAAAGGAAACATTTATGAACAAAACGAAAAAATCCTTAATGACGCTTGATGTGATGTCAGAGCTGAGTGCATATCGGCCGATGCTGATTGGCCGGTGTTCTGTCAGACCAGCGTACTCAGTCAATATGCATATGCAAGATGTCAGGTTTGAATTTATCCCTTAAGTTTTGTATGAAAAATAGTCTTTAAACTACCTCAACGGGCATTTATCCCTTTAGCCATGCAGAAAAATTATTTATTAAAGTAAATAAATATTTTTTTTTGTATGACTAAAGGAATACACGCCTTTTGAGGTCATTTAAAGTTTATTTTTCGTACAAAACTAAAGGGATAAACTAAAGGGGATAAATGGCTGACAGAATCATCTGACGGAACACCGGCTGACATTTTGGACCAATTCTAAATCTGGCGCAGCTTTTCTGTCCCTCACATCCCTCCGGCTTCATCTCTGCGCTGACGACGTGTTCACAACTGTATGGAAATGAACCAACCGACCAATCGAAGTAACCCTAATACTGCATTGGGATGTATGAAAACCAGTTACAACCAGTAAACCAGCATACAGCCCCTACAGTAGCAGAGATTAAAAACCAGCAGGGTTTAAGAAAAAAAAAAAAAAAACACCTAAAGTTTATATCTAAAGTTTATTTAAAGGAGAAGTTTGGTCACATTCAGAATGCAAACTTCTGAAAATACTTAAAATATAAAATGATTCCATCCTGTTCAATAAATGATCAGTGTTTTTAATTCAGAGTAATTTTCATGTGAATGTGCTTTACTGGAGGCATCCAT